AAAGAAAGAAAGAAAGAAAGAAAGAAAGAAAGAAAGAAAGAAAGAAAGAAAGAAAGGCCTTTCTGCTTGGGACTCGATCCAAGAAAAATAAGGCCTGAAATTTTTCAGGGCTGTTGGCAGAACATCTGAATTCTCCAGAGGGGTGTCTCACTCTCACTCACTCACACACACACACTCACACACACACATCCTTGCAGAAAGCGCTATCAGAATAAAAGTCTCCAGCAGGATGAAGAACCAGCACGTTTGCCAGGCGAACAACTGCTACGCTGCACGGGAGTCAGGTGGGAGGGGGCCGAAGGAGGCATGGCCAGAGGTGATGGAAATGGTTTGTGTTAAATATATATCTTCAAGATTTTCCCCTCCTTCTCTTCACCACCACCGTTAACAAAAGGCTTCTGAACGTACGGCTGAGTCCAGGGCAGCCCCAGCAGAAGCCAGGTGGGTCTGCAACCTTCTCCAAATGCAAGCAGAGCACCTGGGACATTTAAAAGACACCCCGGTCCCTTACCTGATTATGTTTCCACTGCCAGAGAATGTCATAAGGCAACTGAAAGTCTATTCGCTTTTGGCGAAGGTATTTTCCTGCAAGAGGGGAGGGAAGAAATGCATGCAATCATTTTATTTTATTTTTTTGCAAACACGGTATGCTTTTTCTCTTTTTTTTTCTTTCTCTCTCGCCCATGCACACAGACACTGAGCTACCAACAGATGTGCTCTTGGAAAGATCTTCCAAACCTTTCTCCTTCCCTGATCTAATGACAGCGGCATACGAGCAACCAGGAACTAGTTCCCGGGCGCACTGCAGGGAAACCCACAATTCTTCCATTGTAGGAAGGGTCGGCTCAAACCACCTTGCCGTTCCCTCCTTGAAAGCCGAGAGACAGCTTAGAAAGGGAGGAGGAGCCTTCTTCCTGGCCCCTTGGACTCCTGAGGCTGGTTGCCAAAAGCAGACGTTTGCCAGGATGAGGAGAAACCAAGAATGTGCCACACATTGCTGAATTAACATCCCAGAAGGCCCAGCCAGGGAGACCGCACCGAGAGGAAAATGAGGAATTTGTCTGGCCACAGCTGCTGATTTATACCAAGCCTGGACAACTGAGAGGTTTAAGGACTAAGACGCATTCTTACTCCTTTCCCACCGTCCCTGCAAACGGCTCTGAAATCAACCGCCTGCGGTCCTCCATGTCCGAATCCCGCTCTTGGATTAGGTGCTTCAACCCCAGTACGTGTTGCAGAATTACCCAGCCGAGTCTCCTGAGAAAGTTTTGATTGCAACTTGGCACTCATTCAACAGGCAGCTGTTCCACAGCAGTCGTTTTCTTTCATTTTAGCAAGGGACCTGCAGCTGGAGAGGCTCCTTTAAATGAGGCGCCTTGTGCTTACGGTTCCCAGAATTCCCCAACCAAGCTGGCCGTGGCTGAGGATTCTGGGAATCAAAGCCCAGACACCTGGAGGGCGGAGAGTCATAGAGAGGGACGAGGATCAATGAGTGGGACCTGTTTACAGTCGTGGCTTCGTTAGGAAAAAGGCAAACAGGAGGAGGGAGAGCAGCTGACATGTTGTCTTTACAACTTGCTCTTCAAATTTGTTCTTCTTTTTCAAAGCCTCAAGTTGTGCTTGGCAAGTTCCAGGAAGCAGCCAGGTCCGCTGGGAATCTGTTTTCACTTCTATGACCTCACTGGATGAAACAAAAGGCTCTTTCAAGCGCCTGGCAGCCGGCCCGGAGAATAGGGAACGCTCTCTCTTGCCCTCAATAAAGGAGCCACCCAGACAAGCTGGCCAGGCAGAGAAATAATCCTCGTAACGTGATTCGGGGAGGCGAGACAGGGTGGCTGTTATGCCAGGCAGAGAAACTCATTAAAACTGCCTTATCTTTCGTGTATGCATTTGTTGGTGTCTCTTGGTCCAAGTAAGTGGCAGGCTGTTCCCGGATGAGGGCTCCATCTCCCCCCCCCAATTCACAAATTCCCCTATGGGGAATTCTCCAACAGGCTGTTTAAGCACAAGGGGGCAAAGAAACATTGTCATCAGGTCTCCTTGCCTGCTGATGCCCCTCGGTCTTTTCGTTGCTGCAAACAGGTACGCTCAGCTTTGTTCATCAAGGCCTTACGAAGGCCAGCACCTAGGCAAGACAGCTCGGGGGAACCAGGACGTGCTGGACCCCGATGTCAGATGATGGGCAGAAGCAGCAGGGAAAACCAGCTGTTTTTCCCTCCAAGGCTGTTGTTAATCTGGGGGAAGGGAAGGAAGCTTATGGGACTGTGCGAGGCAGAGTCTCGGCTGGGGGAGAGGAACCTCAGACTGGTGTCCAGGCCGTGCCTCCTCCATGGCCCCGTTCCAGCTTATTGTTATCATTGGCCCCGTGCCTCCGTCCTGTAACTACAAACCTGGTGGAGGTGCTTTCCATAATTGGGGAAGAAAACTGGCTGGGTGCAAAAGTCTGCCCCCCCTCTTCCACTGCAGGGAAAAGTCATGCCCACACCCACTTCTGGAATGCAAGGACAAGCTTCCTCTCTCATCCACGGCTGCAAGCCCTTTAAGGAAAATTTTTACTGAATGCAACGAAGCACTACGCCGCTGGGGTTTAAAGTGGCCAACTGGGAAAACGGGGACTTGCTTTACCCCGTAGCCTGCCCTGCTGAGCTCAAAAACACGCACGTTTCCCATCCAAACCCCTGGAGAAGGCCAGATGGGGGCAGAATGTCGTTTCTGCCTGGAAATACAGCCCTGCCTGTAGTAAAGGAAGGGCTGGGTGATCTTGGGGGCCCTGCCTTGATGAACAGCAGTCCTCTGCTAAAACCTGAATCCACCAGCCACCTCCTTCATGAGACCTGGCCCCCTGCTCCAAAGAAAACTGGATCCCATCTTGTAGCTTGTAACTCCTCTAGAGTCAAGTCAGAGAAGAAGGCCTTCCATCAAAAGCCAGAGAGATGGTGGTTCTCACTCACCTACGTGAATAGGCGCAGGGAACAAGCCGTACTCATGTTCTCCGGGCGTGTACTCCAGTTTCTCTTTCTTTAACTGGATCAGGCGGCTTTTGGGGCTAAAGAGAGAGAGTGTGTGTGTGTGAGAGAGAGAGAGAGAGAGAGAGAGAGAGAGAGAGAGAGAATGGGGGGGAAGACATCCAACTCTACAAAACAGACAGGCAGGGCGCTGGCGAGTCCTCTCTTGGACATTTCTTTGGGTGGTGTTAAGAAAGGACCCAACTAAGTGAAGGGAGGCTGGTAATTGCAGAAGGATCCAGGTAGTCTCCAAAGCTAGTTTATAAACATATTCGTGCATTTAACGGTCAATATTTTGCGAGACTTCCATAACTGCACCTAGATGTTCCCACAGGAAATCTCTCAAGATTTCAGAGATTTACATTTTCAAAAAGGATTATTGTATCGTTTGCTGACAGTCCGTAAGAAGGTGGTGGCCAATCCATCCTTGATGTAGATGTTAATTTGTTAGCATTCATGCTCTAGGTTAAATTATCAATCAATCAATCAATCAATCAATCAATCAATCAATGGGATTTTCATTAGGACCGCAATTTGTGAGATGTTGAGGTCTTTTTTCTCCCTAGCTACGTTCCTACAGAAAATCCCCCACTGTAAGATGCCAAACAAGTATAGCAAGCAAAGTGTCCCTGCTTCAGATGTTTCCGTTTCCCTGAAAACTGTCCCTCCATTTAGGCATTTTTTATTTTTAAAAAAATATGCTTAGGGTGCAATCAAATTAGCCTAAGAATCTCTTTCCTAGGCATCTGAGGAGTGTTCTAAGGAGCACTTTGGACATAAGATGACAACATGTGCAAAAGCTCAAAAACAGAAGCACTGTCACTAGTGAGTTAACAGAGCCAGCAAGGCTGGAGTAGTGTGGTCAAGGTTCGATTCACCAAGTCCTTCTAAGGGCTTTTTCTTAAAGAGATGGGCATGTCATCAAAGGATTCCCGGAAATGCAAGACAGAAGGGCCAGTTTGACTAGGACCTATTAAGATTTTGCCAAGGGTACGAAGTTCCTTTCACACTTCTCGGTAACAGACAACGTCCTACAGTAGAGTCGACACCAACTTGACAGCACATAATCAGTCAATTAAAACAGATCAATATCACGTCTACCAGCACCAATCCAGCATTTTCACAGTATCAGGTCTGCAGGCTTAATCTGCTATATATAACTATGGAAGCCTCGCTGTCTGTTTCTGCTCTCTGCTGACCAACTTTCAATGGCCCATTCACAATTAATGGTGCAATTAACTGTACTGCCACTAGAGGGCACGCTGCCACAGCAACAATTGTACACATGCACACCCACCTAAGTGTGCCTTGTGTGAGGAGCACCACATCTATTGCTGGTAAGATGAAGAATGCAGCAAACTAGGATCACTACATAGGGATCACAGCCCCGCATCTCTTATTTCTATTCCTGGACCTCCAATGTAAAACGTTCCAGAGAGGTGCTATGTTCGCTCTGAAGCACCTTTCTGGAATTAAATCCCGAGGGCTGCAGAGTCTGGCATACCACAATAACCTTGTCCTGGAAGATCTGCTTCCAGAACACTCCTGAACCAGCCCTACATTTATGCATTTCAGGAGAAAAGCGAACAGCTCCACTCCCAGAACAGTGAGCTTGGCACTCAACTGTTCTGTGGGTGCATATATGTGTCTGTGTGCCTTTGAGTCAATCTTGGCTCCTGGCAATGGCCTGGACAAGTCCCTGAAGTTTTCTTGGGCAAGGTTTTTGGAAGCGGTTTGCCCTCACCACCTTCTTCCTAGGGCTGAGAGAGAGGGACTGGCCCGTGGTCCCCCAGCTGGCTTCGTGCCTAAGGCAGGATTAGAACTGGTTTTTATCTCCGTGCCTTTAATCATGACACCAAATGGCCTCTCCCTCAACTGTCGGACCTGGAAAAAGGGCTGGGGAAAAGAACGGGGAGCCAACGGCAATGCCTGACCCTGCAAACGGTGCTCTGCTCAGAGGTAGCCGGATCACTAACAGCCCAAGCGTTTCAATCAAGAGTCTTTTTCAAGGTCATCTTGGGCACGCTGAGGTTATCTCAACAGACCGGCGCAGACACGATGCTTGAGAAGGATTCTGCACTTCCCCAAAGAAAAACAATTATTCACAATTATTCTTCTGAAGGAGCTGCAAACACACCGACGTGAGCTCTCTCTGCTCTGCCTCTATGGAAGACTTGCATTTCAGACACTGTGAACTGGAATGATTCCTCCAGCAGCCATTTGAAAAGTGGCGGGGAAGGAAACCGAAGGTTGAAAATGTTTAGCACATTTATTCCTCAACATACACATGCCTTTAACGGGTTATCCCAACGCCATCCTTCTAACAGAAGCAACTCCGAAGTCTACGGATGATTAAAAACACACGCAACGACTACAGCCCCAACAAAAGCCACCGTATCCAGAAAGAGAACATTACATTCTGGAGCAGATGCCATACAGAGGCTTTCTGTTTCGGGGCGGGGGGAATCCAAGTCTGCTTTAACTTGTTTCACTCTGCAGCAGGCGGTGCCCCTCCCTCCCTGAAAACCACACTGCTGCCAAGGAGTAATCAGAGGCCACATGATAAACCTCTTCCTCACTCAGGGGAACTTCTTTATATGAAGGAAACATTCCTGAAAATGAATTGCTTTCTGGTCCTAAAGGAGGTGCTTTGGAACGATCCTTGAAAGAAGAGGGGCGGAGGGGAGATAAAATCAAATAGGAAACGCTGATGAGTCACACATCTTGCGAGCAGAGTATTCTTTAACTTGGATGTAGCTCAGGAATTTTGTGTGTGGGCTCCAGAGAAGATGGCAAGTTGCATCCAAGAGCATGTCTACACTTGATGTCCCCCTTGGGCTAACAGGGGTTGGGGGGGGGAACACAAACCAAACAAACTCCAATTCGACTGTGCAAACCAGCAAATGGAAACTGCATGCTAAATGCTCCAATTATCGATTATACTGCATCCTTTTCATTCTACAAAAGTGCATTGGTGTGTCTTGGCCTGGTGGAAACAAGATTTATGTAAAGTCTGGGGCCTAAACCAGCCGCCCCTCCCCTGGAATCGTATTTCAGGCTGAAAATGCAGGGCCCAAAAAGCGTAAGTAAATGAAATAATATAATCGGCCTCTGTGATTGCGTCAGAACAGTTTTGCAACTAGGAACGAGAGACTTATGCAGAAGCTAGTCATTGAATGCAGTTTTTCTTCGGTTAGCTTTGCTTTATCTGTATAAATTTATGCACAGGCATAACTGTGTTTCGGACAGAATGTTTTCTAGGAAAGCATGTTTACTTGTGAATATAAATTTGGTTAATGTAAGGAACGGGAAAGACTGAAGTTGCAGAATGATAGAATTAAAGACTGAAGTATTGATAGAAACTGTTACAGTTGAATGTATTTTGCGAGGAAACCGAAGTCGAGATCCATTATCCCTCTGCGAACAACCCAGATCTCATTAAGAGCATTAACAGGTCCTGAGGAACGGTTGATCTCTACTTCATTTAATAACAAGGGATTCTCATCCACGTTAACACATACTTTTTATATTAAGCCTGACAGATTTTCCTGAAGGTCTTAAAACAATTCTGGGATTGGGGGATTGAAGGTGATGCAGCTCCCTGACGTTTCTCATGATGCAGCACGGCTTTTGTGTCAATGTCACCAGGCACTGACCACAAAAGAGAAACCTAGCAATTGTCATCTTTCTGGATTGGTGGGCACGGAAGCAAAGGGGAACACGCTAACTTCTTAATCAACAAAGGGAGGTTCAGGGGAACGAGCCACTGACACAGCATTGCGATGAGACGTCAGCAGATCCAACTTACTCAGTGGTCTTGTACACGTCCGAATACAGCCCAGCCTTCTGGTACTTCTTTTTCGGAGGACGCGGAGCTTTCTTCTCACGCTGGACAAGGGGGGCTGGAGGCTGTTCGACACTCTCCGGCTCACGTGGCTTCCCAGCAGCCTCCACGGGGGGGAGAGG